AAACTCAAAAATAAGACACAAAGATTTGCTGTTAATATCGAGTACTTTTTCAAACCCTCAAAAATTTATTAATTTCTCAAAAGTTATATCCTTTCCACTCTGACATCACCATTTCTCGAAAGAACCCCTCTTCATCAAGAAAGCCTCCAAGAAATTTTTTTGCAACACCAACGGAAAACATCCCTAATAATGATTTGTTGCCTGGAGAGATAATGTGGAAAGCTACAACTCAAAATTAGTCGATATCTAGTGCACTTTATGCTAATCATGCAGACAACTCAAAGCCCTTCTCAAACAAGCTACGTACCTACACGATCAGTCATAACCACCACCAACTCTTCTTGTCCATCGCCATCAACATCCATTATGTATGCGGATGTTATATTTGACTGTAACAGAGTTACCGAGAGAACATAGAGCAAAAGCAACAAATAAAGTGAAACACCTGAACGGTTTGTGTATAGATAGGTGCACCATGCGTGTATGGTAAATGGACACACTGTAAGAAGCCATCTGCCGATATGGCAATTAGTTCAGGCCTAAAAGTGGTCATGGGTGTGAATCAGGGCCGTTGCGAAAATTCAAGCTTACTCAGAAAAGTACAGAAGCTACCTTGTTTTCCCTCTCAAATTGCCGCAAGCGAGCGCAGTAACGGGGGAGCTAGTTCTTGCATGCATTCTCACCACATCTGTGTCACCTTCGTACATCATAAAGTAGACCTTCAAGAACTATAGTATATCAGAAACACAACTAAATAGAAGCTTACAAGCTCAGTTTATCAAATATGGTTTTGATATGTAAAAGAAAATATGAGTAACTCTTCTTCTCTTTTTATCAGAGTGTTTAACCACCTTTTAAATTTGCTAGTAAGTTCTACTCTCTATCCAAAAAATAGTGTTTAGGATGGAACAGCTATGCATATCGCTTTTTGCAAATGTCGTAATGTCGCTCGCAAGTTGATAACTACGTGAGCAGACTTTGTGTGTGTGCAACTAGAACATGTAATATTTCTTCTATGTATGAAAAAAAGACATGCTAATGAATATAGGGACTATTTCAGCGTGAAAAGGAAAGCTATTTACAATCAGCCGACAACCTTCACTCATTCAATTAACAGATACCTCCCCATTTGTTCCACCGGACACAACCTGTGTACGATAATGCTGTGTTTCTGAGAGAAGCAATATTGATGAGCAAGGACTCGATATTGAACCCACTAGCTTTGAACGTGGACAAATCGAAGTTGCCATCTTAAGATAAGCGAACAATGATCACCTTTGCCGACATACACCATATGCGATCAAAGAATCAGGTGCCAAACCATAAAATTGCTACTTGAACAATATTTCTACTCTCTTTTATCATATATGCGATACTGTAGGAACAACAGACAAGATGCAAAATATTCAACAATACATGAGAAAATTAACAACCATGGAAACAAGCTAAACTATGTTACTTGCTAAATTTTCCCTAACCGCAGCTGACTTTCGCTTTGATCGCCTCCTTTTACCGCTCGCTGTTCGTTCGCCAGTTCTCGCTATAGAACCAGCTTTACTATCCACTTTTTTCTTTTTCTTACATGAAAGTGGATTTGCACCCTAAAAAACACCAAATCCTTAAGTCAGATAGGATCATTCTTAGAAACGCAACCTTTATCCTTTTCCTTTTCTTCACTTCCACTTCACCAAACACAGCTGCCTTTAATTCCTTCACTTTCTCTATCTCACTTTTGGGTGCTTCGGCAGCGGACTTCGATGTCTAAAGATTTCAGACAATGCAAAAAAGAACATATAACACGAAGATGGTACGAGAATATAACCTCAGATACTCGATCTAGTAGTATTGCATTGTATTTGATGTATAATATGGGAGTGCCGGCAATGGTGCGCAGCTTCTCAGAAAGAGAATCATCCTAAACGGTGCGAAATAAGAGATACATGAATCATAATTAGTTCAATGCTGATGTTCTTTTGAATAATTTTATTTCTATAACTTACTCATGCATCTTGCGATTGTTTTGTGAAAGTCTGGTTATGGAAAATTACCGTAAATTATACTCACATTGGTAGCAACTATATACTTTGTATGCCCGTTGATGGCTCGACGTGCAAGATGTGCGAGGCATTCAGTTGGAGAACGATGGGGCATGTGAGGGCACATATCAATGGCGAACTGACGACAAATTACGAGCGCTCCGTAAACAGGGGATCCCAAACGCTCTTGAAAAAAAAAA